TTCTCCAATGTCACCATTTCTTCTTCGGAGACGAACAGGAAGCCCAGGCACACGAGAGCCTCCAGGCTCCTCTGGGGCCTTCCAGGCTGTAAAAGTCCCTCAGATCAGACAGAATCCTCTGAACTCAGCTGCTTTGTTACTGGAAAAGCAGCTGAACCACAGAGCTCTGACTGGGGGCACACTCAGCACTGTCTCTCTCAGCCTCGTCTGTCACCATTTCTTCTTCGGAGACGAACAGGAAGCCCAGGCACACGAGAGCCTCCAGGCTCCTCTGGGGCCTTCCAGGCTGTAAAAGTCCCTCAGATCAGACAGAATCCTCTGAACTCAGCTGCTTTGTTACTGGAAAAGCAGCTGAACCACAGAGCTCTGACTGGGGGCACACTCAGCACTGTCTCTCTCAGCCTCGTCCCAGCAGCTCCATCCCCACCTCTGTCCCTGCACACCAGGATCTACACCATGCCTCCTTCCAGCTGCCTCTGAGGGCAGGGCAGAGCTCACACCCTGCCTTAGGACACTCCTTCTGCACAAGAGCATGTCAGCACTTTTTGGCCATTACTGAAAGGACAAATAAATAGCTGTTGCACTCAGAGAGAACCAACAGCAGCTATTACACAGCAGGACCTCACCTAGGCTTTTGTTAAACTCTATGTCAGGGCTTTGTAACAATCACACAAGCAATCTGTGGAGGAGGAAGCTTTTTTAGTGCCTGGGAACAGCTGTGGACAAAAAAAATGAGTAGGAGAGGATCTACTTCATGTGGAAGAGCTATGCAAAACCCAAACATACTCACATATTTGAGGAATAGGTTCAGTTCTTTGTGGTCTTTGGGATTTATCGTGGCTTCAAACAAAGGTACAAAGATGTTCTCCAACATCTTCCCAAAACTAGGCAGTATATTTCTAGACCTAAATATGTCACTGAAGGGGGAAAAAACAGACACATTCTTAAATCAGTTTGTACTTTCCTCCACTTTCCTATTTTCTGTTATCTGTGTATATTCTACAGCTTCAGTTGTCCCAGGATTCAAAACTCAAAGTTTGTGTCAGGGCAGGGATTGTCTCTGTGCTCTGTTTCCTGCACTGCCTAGCACTCTGCTTCATCCAGGCTCTGCTGAAGCTCTCGAGAGCTTCACAAACAGACACAGTATGCAGGGGTAGAATAGTCACCTTCCCACCCACGTACCAACAGGGGAGATAAGAAATTACCTCCTGTGAAAGATTCTGTGTCCTGCAGTTGTAATGACTCCAAGTGAAGTAGAATGTTCTGCTTCAGTGAGCCCTTCAGCAAGGAGGGACAGCACTTCCCTGTGCCATTCAGTGCATGACTTGCTGCAAGCACTGACTGCACTGTGCATGCCAGAAATGCTGCGTAAGGAGTGGGGAGAGAAACCTTCTCCCTGACAAACAGCACACTGGGGCATGTGTGTGACCACAACAGCTCTCTCTAAACGTGTTCCAACCATGCCATTGCAGACTGTCAGCTGTTAAGGCTGACAGAATTTTCATGGGATTTTCATGGGAATTTTCATAGTACAGTATACAGTATTGGAAACCGAGAAATAAAGTCCCAATGGAGGCTTAAAAACTAAGAGAAAACGATCCTGATCTAAGTTTGGGAATCAGCAATCTGGGCTGTGTTTCCAAATTCACTGTCATTTCATCACTGATGTTGATGGTAAGAGTTTTACAGAGCATTTTCTACTCCTTTATGGACTTCAGGAGGTGATGTATTCTCACCACTAGACTGTATGTTAACCTGCCTTCGAATGCAGCTCGATTTCAGCCAGTTGTAGTTTTTGGTTTCAGTGTCTTCAGACTTACAAACAATTCACAGTAGTTTTGCACAGCTTACAAAGAGCAGATTCAACCCCATCTCCTCTCCTCCACCCCCAGACAGTCAGACCAACTGCAGCAATGGCCAAGAATAAAATTCCCAGGGTAATCCTTATAAATAGAACTACAGGAAAGCTAAGAAACCATCTAAATAATATCAGAAATTAAGTCATTGGTATGAGTTCAAACTATTAACATTACCAAGAGCTCCTGATTACTTACTAGATTCTGGGAACCTGAATTATCCAGCGCATATTAGGGGAATAAACTTTATGCTTAATGAACCATTTTGCCAAGTTCAGCCATTCATCTGGAGACCGTCCATAAATGGATAAGCGGGGTTCTGTATACTGGTACTTACTTTCTTCTAGTTCACGGGCTACTTCCTAGTAAGTAATAAATATATTTGCTTTAATATGGACACTGGAGAGATTTACAGCTAGTAATACAGTTATCACTGTCCTTCCCTCAGACCAGACATAACTGTGTTCACACCCTTTAAAGATCAAGGGACTCTCATCTGTTAATCCACGGCTTCATTTCAGGCAGCTAAATGTTCTGCTAGCAAGCTCTCCCAGATACCACCTGAGTATAACCAGCTGTACATGTCACTAAGTATAACCAACACCTCCATTTGGAGGAAAAGATTCTTGTGCAGTTTGTTAGACCTGTGTTTAAAATTGGTAATTCAGAATTATACTGCTTAAACTGTAGTAAATGTCTACATAAAATCTGCAGAACAACGGAGAGTCTGACCCAGAATCTGTGGCAGGAAGCAATTTGAAGGCAGTTCATTTTAGACAGGCACTTCTGTACATCTGAGAAGAGCTGACACCTACTACAGCACACAGAGGACTCATGTTTTTGTTGTCATTCATTTGAATGCACGTGCAGAAACAGATCTATGCAGAGGCATTTCCCTAGCTCCTCCTTCCCTGGCAGCTACCAGCAGCCACCTACATCCTGACAAAGCATTCAGCCAGTGCACTGCCCCTTGGCTGCTCTCCATTAGTTCAAGCTGCACACACTGTGCCTGGGACTGATCACAGCTCACAGCTCGGGAAGCAGCAGGGGCTGACTGAGCAGAGGTTCTCTGAGGCAAGCCCAGCCCTGGAATCACTTAGCCACGGTGTTAGCTCTAGATACAATCACAACATCACAGATCTACTACAAACCTTCATTTCTCTACAGCTGGAAGAGCTTGAAACTTATTTACCTTGACCATACGAGCGAAATATTCACCACCAATATAGTTCTCAGTTTTCAAATACAAGTCCCTCAGCTCACTGGCACCAACTGGGTTGTACTTGGAATTGAATTTGTCAAAGCGATGAAATGTTTGACGACCCTGGGGGAGGAAGAAGACCAATACCCATGGTTTTATGAACACACAATAGTCTGTAAGTTAAATGGCCTAGCAATAAAAGACATGGAAACAAAAAAGCCTGTGCTGACTTACTTCAGACATGCAAAGTAATTGATAGATTTAATAAGTTCTTGTGCAAACACTGTAGAAACTAGAATTTCACACTCAGAAAACTTATCCTTTTCTTGTTTATTTTGTCATTCCACTAGACTTACTGCATGGACATCTAAAGAGTCCACAGTGAGGTCGTAGGGGTCCATGTGGAGGCTTTCAAAGACTTGCTTTAAAGTAACCTTCTTGCCTTTTTTCTCTGCCACAATCCTGTCGGGCTCGGTCTGATAGGTGTGCTTAATGAACCTCAGCAGGTGCTTCTGGTTCATGCAAGCAGCAGCATGGATATGAGTATCCACCTGAAATCAAAAGGTTATTCATGCTTGTCATCCATATCCATAAAGTAGCAAAGTATCTAGAGTGGCCAAAGCCTCCTAAAATATTCCTTAAGTAACAAATGGATTAGTGCCTAAGCAAATCCAAGTGTTTCAGAACCCTGAGATGTTGCTCCTGGGGAATCATTTGATAAGCAGAACTATAAATAAAATAGGCCTTGATTAATAGTTGCCTATTTAAATCAGAAAATTTTCAGCAAGTTAAGATATATTTTAATTTTAATTATACTAAGTTTAATTACAGTTCATTAAGTTTAATTATGATCCAGCAACTTGTAATGCTGCCAAGGTTTTTCGGGTCTCTAAGGGGAGTCCAAGCTCCCCAGAAGATATGCACGTACAATTTTCGTTATTTAGTATGGGACTTTTCTTGGGATTTATTAAACAGATGAGCTCTCTGGAGAACTCCTACTAAACCCAGAAAAAGAGGGGTAAAAGGAGGAGGGGTAAAAGCCAGTAACCTTTGGCTGTGAGGCCAGCCATTGATCCTGGCCAGCTCTCTGCTCTGCCTCTCTGAACACAGTAACACGCGTTCACTGACTGACCTTGCCACTACATCCACAACTGTTCTAGTTCTGGCATCTTCCACCAGTGACTTTGGCCCTTTTGTATAACAAACAGCTTGTTCCAGGATCTCCATGCTCGTGTCTGAGGGATACAAGAGACAACTTCACCAACAGCTCCTTGGGAAGGTGAATCTTGTTCCTTGCTTTCCCTGTGAGCAGGATGCACTGTTCAGGACTGGCTAACAGAGAGACACACTGTTTGCAGTGGCCAGGAAGTGTTGCTTTCAGAACTTTCACTGCTGATACTGTGACTAGGGAGGAAGCACTCTGGGGAAGTTACAGTTCCAAACATTACTTGTGTTAGCAAGACATATGGAAAACGAGATTATTTGGGGGCTGACAGGAACTCTAGCCACAATGCAGTTACTTTCCAGAGTGCTTCAGAAAAATCCAACTTGTAAGCTTGTTTCCGAAAAACATTGCAAGCAAGATGAACTCTGCATCAAGAGCTTCCAAAGCAGTACCTGTCAGGAGCAAAGATCTCTGGCAGAGAAGAGCAAGCTTGTTCCTGCTCTCTTGAATTACAGTACTGCCAGAGGGGAAGTGATGCACATTTTGTGCTTTTGAACAACACGAATCCATTTGTAGCTTGGCTTATTTAACAGCAGACAATTAAAAAACAATTAAGATATGCCCAGGGACATTGAACATTTGCTTTTAAATCAAAAGCTGAACTTAGCCAGTGCAATCCTGTTAATTACAACTTCTCGGTACCCAAATTCATTGTCCTGGCTGTTACCCAATGCTGTGGCCACCAAGTGTTCTATGCCTCAAGCCTCTCCCAGCTGAAGTGTTTGGCCTGAACCTTGCCCAGGGTTGTGGAGGAAAAGTGTCACGTTAGGAGCTGAGTCTCTGCACTTGAGTCCTGCTTGAGTGAATTAACCAACAGATCCTCCCATCCACACACTTAACAGATCCAAGTGTGAAATCCATTAGAGTTTGCCTGACAACTCACCTGCTTCTACCCTTGTGATGGACACAGGCACAGCCACCACTTCTGTTTAGCAGACTGTCTTGGACAGTTCATTGCCACCACAGTGGCAAACATTCAGCAGCCACCAACCACACCGGGGGAAAGCCAAGAGGACTTTTACTGTACTAGCAGTACCCAAAACGTGACAAGGATTAGTGCACCCCAAAGTCACAAAACAAGGACTACCTCTTCCATTGCACAGAGACAATGCAAAATGGACTCCAAGGGGTTAAAAACACCAGCAACAATTACTGCTTTGTGAAGAAACCTCAGGATGCAACTGAAGCATTAGCTCTCCAGCAACTTCCTCTTCACTTCAAGTGAAGGGAAGCCAAGGAAGCAGCCAAACTGTTGCTTCCATGCTTTGAAGGGAACACAGCTCCCTCGGGTCTGAATGTCAGGAAATTAAATTAGCTCCTGGATTCCCCTGTCTGTCTCATGATTGCATCTCAGAGGCTGCTAAGACTGTAACTCCAGTAACCATCTTTTTACTAATGTTTCCCAGATTTCCCCTGCTGGCAGCGTGAACCCTCCGCTCAGTTTCCGTAAAGTGTCTCTGACATGTGTTCAAACACCTCTCTTCAATAGCAAGTGCAGTTGTTAGGTGCAACCTCTGCAGCTGCTCCTACCACAGCCTAGTGGGACTTACCTACACGAAAGTGAATTCATCTAAATTAATTAAACCTCCATGTGGATATTTTTATACACAATCCAAGCAAGCTTCATTTAATTAACTCTCTTGCACTCCTTTTAAGCAATCTACATACCATTAAGCCCCTTTGATTCTGAATAAGTCAACAAATTAGTTTAGCATAATCCACGTAACCCACGTACGTTCAAGTTAATTTCCTGGAGTGTCTTCATGTAGAAAAATGTAAATGTTCTGACAAGAACATGGTTGAGTTGAGTGGTTAGCACACACCACTTTGTGCACACTGCCTGCCCCTCCCGTAACAGAGCACAATTGCTGCAGCTCCTCAGAACATGCCATGCCTTCACTCCTCTTAACACTTACCTTTCTCACATTATAAAAGTCTCGGTGGGGATTACTCTTCAGTTCTTTGAATTCTGACATTTCGTTTAACATCTCATGTAAACTAAACTTGGATTCTAAAAAGTTAAGCCTCCGATGACAGTATGTTTTTCTGTAAAAGAAAACAGGAAAATTAACTGTAACTTAGAACTATTTGTATTTCCAGTTCAGAAAGTTTTCACAGTAAAAACAAACACACTTGTTTTATGAAGACCAAGACAAATCCAGTGGTTTTACCCTACTGGTTAACAACTATATAAGTCAGTATCCAACATGATTTCAGACCAAATTATTAGTGAAGCCTCACACAGAGCTCTATAAAACCATGTTATGGCCTTCGACTCGTCCAAGTATTCAGCACTGTATCTGTGCATGAACTGCAGTTCTTCTAGTAACCATGACCAGAGGAAGCATGAAGCCTATAATCACATTTCATGTCAACTGCTACAACCCTAAAACTCCAGTGGAACAACCCCTCACATAGAACAGAAACTCGTACGTCTGCGATCCAGACTTTTAAAAAATCCCCCCTATTTATTTGCTTTTTCAATTGAATCTGAGAAGCCAAGATCAGATTCAATATATTTTCATGTTTTATGCCTTAAGAACACATATATTGTGTAGAAATACCTTTTTCCAAACTAATTTCTTGCACCCTTTTTAGAAAATCATGCATTTTGTCCCTGCTTGCCTACTCCTCTGTCTTCACTTCCATCTTCTGTCATGCTTCTTGTTCTATTTTTAACCAATGACATGGTTTTTCTCTTCACCATCTGTCAATTCTTAATGACTACAATATTTTGGTAGCACTATTAATGTAATAGCCATCTTCTTCCTGCTTCACTACTGACAATCTCTCCTCAATGGGACACAAATCCCAGTGTGGTTTATAAGTCCAAGTCAGACACAGCCTCACTATCTGATACTGACCGAGTCCTGTTTGCCCACTACAGGAAGATTTTGTTGGGTTATGCTATTAACAAGAGACCAGAAGACTGAGGGGTGAGATTAGATCAGGTTAGAGCAGCAGAGATTAAAGAGCAGTGGCTCCTGCTGCCCAAGCAGCCCCACGTGTGACGGGCGTAACTGACAGGAAAGCAGTGGCTGCAGGCAGGGAACAACGCTGCAAAAAGAGCTTATGAAACAGGATTATTAGAAAGACCTTTCTCTTTTGGCTTGTGTGTATGTATCAGAGAGTGAATCAGCCTGCAAAAGCTTGATCTGAAGTGAAAGGAGCAGATGATTGCTCCTACATTCACAAAGGCACTGAGTGTTCCAACTTGTCCTACCAAGGCCCTTCTTCCTTATGGCTTCCTGTTAAGACTATTAACAGTCTCCAAAGGGCTAACTGTTAACTTAGAGCTGCAAAAATAAGGGGTTTCAGCATGACTTTCGTTTCAAGTTTTTCCTCCTTGTCCTTTAATCTTCTCATTATCTGTCTCTGAACATAACAGACTGAAACTGGAAACGCAGTTACCCATTGCATCCTGTAATCAAAGGCTACTCTAGCTAGCACTGCTTTGGAGCAGGAACGCAGAAAATGCTGGCAAAAGACAAGGGGAGGGTTTGCTCTGAGAAAGGGCCTAGGGAATGGGACAGGTCTGTTTAGCCCACATGCTCTGCCACTGTCCATGGCCACAGGTGTCAGACAGACCCAAGAGGAAAGAATGCCTCGGGTGTGACTAGGTGTTCACACTGGCAGTGATGATCTCTCCAAGGCAGAAGGGCTAGGAATGCAGTGCTGGCAGACAGGGCAAATAGTTCAGAAGAACAGTCCAGGTTCCTGCTTGGTTCCAGCCTAGAGGTGATCCTTCTCCTTTCCTGCTGCTGAGGCCATGAGACCTTGGTGTTTCTAACCCTCAGCTGGGAAGTGAACTGGAAAGTGGATGCACATGTTTTCATTATGCACTGGGCAAGGATGTTGCTTTGCCGTGAGTGCGTCAGTGACTGTACTGGAGTTGCCACACTTGTGGGTTTTAGAGACCTCCCAGGAATTTGATGGCTCTGGGAATTTCAGACCTATTTTGACTGTGTGTCCATGGGTTGGTTTTGCAGCACATGAGCAGTTAATTCACATCTGGAACAAATCAGACTGAGTATTTGTGTTGCTGAGCTGATCTGTATGCTCTGCATATGAGAAGTTTCTCTTCATGCAGCAAGAGCAGAACAGGCATGAAGAAATTCCAGACAGCTGTTCAAAACCCTCAAATCCAGTATGAGCCAAAACAGAAGGTGAGGTTCATGTTTCAGTTCCGGCGCTTCAAGAACTTTGGGCCAGATTCGACTTGAATGGAAACATTGGCCAATTTCTTGCTTTTCTGTTATCTACTTCTTATTTTGGCATGATTGATGCAAAGAGACTGAAGAAATGAAATACAGCCACATGTGGCCTTGTATTTTTTCCTTTTAAAGCTTTTTTTTTTCCTTTTAAAGCTTTTCCATGATGCATTAATGCTTGATAAGGGCAAAATCAAAACATCACTGTGGAATGTGCATGCGGAGGAATGAAATATCACAAAAGTGAAAGGGACTAGCTTAAAGGTAACCAGCAGCTTGAGAGGCAGAGAAGGACAAAAGAGAAACTTACGTTGGACCATCTGCAATTAGAGCAAGAATGTGGCTGAGGTCGAGGGTGTAGGTCTCCAGGTCAGGGTAGGGCAAGCTCCGAGGCTCGTTGAGTTCCATCATCTCTTTGCTGTCATAAACGAAGGGAATGCCACCTTTGAGCTTGATAACATAGTCCAGATTGTCTGGAGCATCATCAAGATTGTAAGGATCTTCATTCTCTTCTGGGGGCGAATGGAAATCTGAAAATAAATGCACATTACATTTAGATGAAATAACTTACACAAAAGGCAAAACAGTAACAAAAAGAACTTTCTGCTTCTGTAGCGCTTCATTTCTAGCAGATCTCAGTACGTCCATCGAAATGACATCTCCAGCAGCTGTAGAAGCACTGCTGTCACAAACCAGGCTGTCACTGCAGCCCCTTCCCAACGCCCACCTCGATTCCCACAGTACACACTCAGAGCTCTCTGAGCCAATGTAGGCCCAGACTCAGCACCATTCTTTATCCATGTGCGATGGCACAAGTATCAAATGAGTTTGCAGAGTATTTAAATTAGGGTGGTTGAAAGCACACTAGAGACTTCTGAACAATAAAGCAGTTGTTGACTTCATACTCACCTTCGTAATTTTCTCCTCACCCTCTGAGTTCCTGCAGCAATTCTGAAGTTGGTGTTTAAGCACACAGTAATGCAGCTGTTCTCTGACTGCAAGGGTCAGAAAAGCACAAGCTGTGCCTCACTTCCTCACCTCTGCCCTTCCCACAGTCCAGAGAGCTAGACCACTGCATACCTGCTAGAACTGCTTCCTCCTCCTCTCAGCCACTAACTAGGTGACTGTATTTCTCTCGCGGCACAAAACAATCCAACACTCAGGACTTCTCACTCTGCTCCAAGCCGTGGCTGCTCTGTAGGTTTCTGGGGGGGTTAATTGGTTGGTTTTGTTGTGTTTTGATTGGACCTTTTGAGTTTGGGGGATTTCTGTGGTGCTTGTTTTGCTTAGGTTTTTTTAAATTAAACTTTTTTTCATGTTTAATTGCTTTCTGAGAGCTGGAAGCAATAGAAGCCAAAGATAGTGCAACACAACTCTAGGTTTTACCTTGGCCCTCTGACCATGACCAAAAATCAGAAAGTACCAGAAGGACAGTTGGGATTTGTTCAGTTTTGTGATCCCTTTACAAAATTACCATTTTTTCCCTGAGAATCAGGGAAACACACACACCTCTAGGAAATTCAGCTCATGCGAAAACTCAAACATTGTCCCTCATGTCAGTGAATATTCATTGATGCTTTTACAGTAACTTACTAATGCAACTAGCACTGCATAATGATAACATACAGTGTTCTGACTACATTTGTGCTAACTGAACTACATTCTGCGCCTCAGTCTTGTCAGAAATTTCTTCTTTTGTGTGTTCAGTTAAGCCAAGACAGAAGAGTAACTAACCAGTCATTTTATTCACCTAGAGCACCTGAATGTGTTACAAACTGATACCATTCTTACGTCTAATAGTCATAATTATCTAGTTCAAACTTGTGCTAATTACGACATCGTGCAACACATTGTTTTGTGTGCGTGTCATAAGTTTAAATTCAGAACTGTAAAAATGTTACTAACTAATAATAGCTTGGAAATATCTCCCTGGCATCTTTCCTGTCTTGGATATTCAGTGTACTGCTCTCTTTACACTCTCCCTGGATAACAAACACTTGAAAACACGTTCATTTGCCCTCTCTCAACCACTGAGCGAGAGGGCAACTGATTTAAACGTCAGTTCATGGCTGAGAATACACTTCCAGCAACAGACACACCTACAGCAGCACGTCCGTCCCGACCACGGGCCGCTCCCGCGGGCTAACCCCGGCACTGCAAACGCTTTGGTGCACAGGCAAAGCCTTCAAGCCACAACCCACCCACGTGACAAATCTAATTTGAGACATATGCAGCAGGAGAACACGTTCAGCCTGATCAGCCTTGTTGGGAGCTGGGAATGTGCTCGGGCAGAACGCCCAACAAACGCCACTCAGCTCCAGTCCCGACCTGCAAGTGTGCGGTGTCTGAGCCACTGACTCAGGCCCTGCTCACTGCCACCTCTGGCTCAGGCTGCAATTTACGATGTGCATGAGCTCATCACCCCTTTTAGTTCCATGTGCCAGGAAGAGGAGGAGGAGCGACTTTCCACTTTAGACCATATCCATATAGCTTTTTCCTGGGGGAACACAACTGCACTACTTAACATCCCACTTACTGCAGAGAAAAATAATTAATGAGACTCTAGTATGCTTTTTCAGGTTTTGACAGCCTCAAAGTTTCAGATTAGACACAGGATTTATAACTCAGGTCTGTCAGTGATTTTCCACTCACTAACAGAACAAATCAGAGGCAAAGACACTCGCAGAGAAGATCACAAAAATCCAGGTTCCCTTCACCACAGCTGTGCACGGGTTTAGCTCTGCACCTTACAATGACTGTCCACCTTTTCAAACACAGTTCTGCACTTAAGAAGGCGACTCACCTGGAGACACTTCATCCTCCAGCCTCCACTTCTCGTGGCGCATGCTGCACAGGTACTGAGACGTGGTTCTGGGGAAGCGATGGTAGGCCAGGCGCGAGTACTTCTCCCGGATCAGAAGAGCTTTCACCAGGCTCTTGGCAGCCTGTTCATAATCATCGACTGTAACCTGCAGGGAAAGCCTGGATAAATACTGACCAAAGGAAACCAGCAGTTTCAGCAGTAACGAGGAGCCTGAACTTCAGCAACACAAGTGCATGGGGCTGCCCCTACGGATCTTGCCCAAGGAGTCAGAACAGTGACAGAAGCAGAATACAAATACAGTATGCAAAACATGATTATTTTTCTTCTCCCATATATTACCCATTTGTTGAACCTCTGATTATGTTTTTATCCAATTCATTATTATTAAAAGTATAAAAGATCCTGACCTTGGCTGTAACTGTTTTACAAATCACTGTTCACAGAGCAATCTAGAGTTTGCTGCAGAGAGCCATAACTGGCATTTTAGACTTTATACACATGCATGGGATTTTTTTCCCCTCTAGACACAAAAAGCATGTTAAAACTGGTTCCTTACCCCTGCACAGTAGTCCCCACTAATTGAAACTCTCTGGAATTCTGGTACATCATATGGCACTTGGGGTGGCAGAAGAGCACTTGGAAGAACAGGCGTGGCAGGAGACAGGACAGGATTGGCCGGTGGTGACTTCCAATCCTGAGGTGGAATTTGCAGTGACAAAGACTGGGATCGAATCATCTTGAAACTTTTCTTCCTAGGGATTCATGGTATGAAACACAAAATAAGCATGGTATAAAACACTGCACACACTGCAAAACTGTTACAGCAAAGAAATCACTCCCAGGAAGTTATACCAATTAAATCCATCGTACCACAGACAACAATATTGGTCAGAATGTATTTGTGCTTTTAGCCTTTTCCTACTGACACTTCCCACGATATACACCACACATGACTGCACTTAGCCTCCACATGAATCCATAGGCCATAATTTATTTACAATCACTACAAGATGCCCTAAGGTTTTTGTTTCACTTCTTACAAATTCAGCAAGTCACTGTACAGGAGGAAAACACAATCACTGTGCTCCCTTCAGAAGAGCTGATTTTAGAGACTGCCAGCATCAGAATTCATGCGACACCAGACAGAAACAAGTGAATGTCACCTATGGTAAATTGTTATAAGTTATCATGCAAGACTTCAGACACATCCAGCTGTCAGACAAGGCTCTGCATCCAAAACTTCACATCCAGTCATGCAGTTAAACTCATAGGAGAATGGAGGAGCACCTAGTTATTCCCTAGGCAATACCTGATGAGACAGCAGCAAAAGCTAATGCTGGTTACCAGAGTGATGACACAGTACATCTCTGCCAGGTGAGAGTATTCCTCCCCTCAGGAGGAACACCTACAAGTTTAAAAATGCTGCCCTTTCTCAGCAAGGCTGTGACAGATGGGCACCTCAGAGCAGCAGAGAAAGAATGCTGTAGTGTTCAGTGAAGCAACTGTAATACCTGAAGAGGAGTTTTGAAATATCTCTGAAGATTTAACTCATTTTCCTTACTCAGTTTAAATGTATTTAAATGTATTTTAAATATTCATATGAGTAAATATAACATTATAAACTACCTGTGCTATCAGTTCCTTTTGCACTGTAGAAATAGTCCCTCCTTTTATAAATTAGATACCAAAACCTTAAAAGGCTAGTAAGAACCATCAACAAAGAAAAAGGAACACTGGCATTTTTTTTCCCCAGGAACTTCTCTGGAAGTCACATATTACTCGTGTGACATTCTGAAGAACAAGAACATGCAGTGCTGGTACAACGAATACCCTATAACCAAATTACATGTTCCCTTAAGTCCTCGTATCCAGCTTGGAAATCACTGTGATTTCTGAAAGGCAGTGCTGGACCGACCGCAACCAAAAACAACACAAGTTGCACTCGTGTCACTGTCCTTGAACTATGCTTCAGTCCTGCAGGGATGTTCTGTTCCCACATGGAAAAAACCTACACAAAACATCCCACTGCCCACAGTTAAACTTGTGGTACAAGTTGACAGAACATTCTTCCATGAGACAATTTCCCAAATTAAAAGGGAAACCTATTAGTTCAGGAGGAAATACATACCAAATATTGGTTTGAATGAAAACATCTGGTTCTGCCTTCTGTGCCTGTTTCTGTCTATGAACATGCCAGCTGGGAAACCCACTTGCACAATTCCAGAGTCTCAGCCTGTATTATCAGTGAGTCATACTTAATTTTACTCAATTAATTCTTCTCCCTCCTGTTCCAGAAATATGATTCAAAGTGTTGCCCAATGACTGCAGCTAGCCAGGTGCATGTGTTGAGCTATGGCTCTCAAAGGCTCTCTGCTCTGCCTGCTTCTTGAGGAGTCTGTACACGTCCAGCCCATTTGGTGTCAGACTGCTGCTGAGCTCACATGACTCCAGCAACAGCCCAGCAGCCTCTGAAGGCAAGACACTGAACAGCCTGACGTCAGGGCAAGGCTGCCTCTCTCACAGCAGAAAAATCATCAACCAAAGCAAGTCTGGCTTCGTTAGAGCCACGGGAAAACCAAAGGCAGAATGCAGGCTGTTTTTTTTTAAATGTGCACTTTTATGTCTTACAGTGGTTAGATTTTATCCGAGTAAAGGAAACCTATGAATAACCTCATTATGCCACTACCTTTTCACCTTCTCCCTTGATCTTAAATGTAAAGTCTTTGCTTTCATCTATTTTTACAGGGACTAAAAGTAGTATCATGCCACTGTCACTTTCTCCAAGTTAAATTTTTCCATTTCTCTGCATGAAACTAGAATCAGGAGAGGGGAGTGTTTCTTTTCCTGACTCTTCTTGCATTGAAGAGTCTTAGGGCTGTGTCCATTCCTGCCCAGCTATGCTGCTGTTAAACGTGCATAAGCAGTATCTATGATACTGCTGGAAACACAGTTGAGACCCCTCACCAGCCCCAGCTCCCCAGGGCCCACCCCACACCTCCTGCACAGACACAAGGACATCACACAGCCTTGGGACCTGCTGTGGACCTCTCTTGTGAAGTAGTAAGAAGCAGAATTTTATTTGCCAGATACTTCAAAATTAACTCTAACTCATTTTAAAAACTATTTTCCCCTAAGAAAGCAACTACCGGACACACCTTTTAGCTGTTTCCACAGACTGTTGTTCTGCCAGTTCCTTCTGCAGCTCCCTCTCCTTGGCCTCATTCTGCCCAATAGGACAGTCCTCAGGCACAGTGAAGAGTGACAATGCATCTTTGCTGTCTTCTTCTCGGAGAACTTTAGCAAAGACCTTCTCTGCTAGGAGCCGCACCTGCTCATCCACCTCCGAGATGTTCAGCTTTGGGAACTGTCGGGGCATCTCGGCTAGGAAGGAAACAGTTCACAAAGTGTTAACTACAGGAAGAACGAAGACATGCAAGAGGCTGGAGTTTTTTCAAGGCACACCTATCAAACCTCAGAGTTCAGAGCAGAAGCAGACTAAGGTAGAACAGCTATGCAGAATTTAGACCAGCATGCAGGGCACAAGAACCACAGGTCTCCACTTTTGGAGCCGTGCTAACTTGTGCATCAGAAACATCTTAGTATGCCCCACAAAAATTCCTAAGAAACACATGGAGAGATTTGCCAGTAGATTCCACTTGCACAATCAGACAGACTTTCTTTGTGATGCAATATAAGCTCAGCTGTATGTACTTGCCCTAAACTCAGAAATCACCTCACACATTGCCTTTGTCTTCTTTGCTCGGTGACTTCAAACAGACAGGCAAGTCAGAAAAGAAGGCTGTGAATTTCTACCTCTCCCCATCCCCTCCACAAACTACAAAGCCACAGAGCTGCTGTGAAGTAGCTGCACAACAGGAGCAAATATGGTATAGCTAACTTGATGACTCTCTTTCCATTAGTTTTCAGGAGTTCATAGGATATAGACTTTCAGTTCTACCTGGCATTTAAACACTATTTTGCAAAAAGGATGGTTTATATTTAAATTTTTTAAGTAGCCTTTCATCACAAGATATTTTCATTTTGCTACAGCATCGCTATTAAAATTCCATCTTCAGTGTTTCTTCTGTACTTTCCTGGCTTTATTTTTATTTCATTTCCATACAAAACAGAATATGAATTTTGAAGTAACTGGTAGCATTCCACAGGGAAAAACCACAGTGCTGTAAGCTCCTGACCAGCACTATTTACTGCGTGCCATAAAGCTTTCTGAATGCCTTCAGTACGATGGAGTTTGTAACAAATAAGATTAAATTCTTATTACATAAGTTAAAAATAGCAGTGAACATGTCACAGCAAACGGATCCAAGCACCGCCAGAATGTGAAGCCTGGGTCCAGGACTGGCATGTTAGAATCCTCTCTGGTTACAAAACTGCAGGCATCTTTTGTGAGAGGGTACTCCTCTAAATAAGGACATTTGCTGGAAGTCAGCATGGAGCACGACACGTTTTTATCACTCCAGGCACTTATCAGGGCCCCCACTACAATTTTTCTGTAGGCATGCTGCAGGTTTCACATGCTGATACTCGATCCTTCTGATACACGATCCTGCTGTTTTCAGCCTAAAAGAGTCTAATTAACGTTCACCTGTTTCCACAGTTGCTTTAAGAACACTTTTGCTCTTATTCTAGTGTAGCCTGAATAGTATGGAAAGGTGAAGTCACGGGAGTCTTTCCACTGACCTCAAAGACTTGTCAGCAACAGTACCTGTCACACAGAGCTGCCAGCACCAAGGGCCTTTTGGGCCACTTCGGGCAGGAAAAACCTCTCTGCAGTTACTCAACTACAGTAACTGTGCCAGCAATACCAGCGCAACGGGAAACAATATTTTCTGTTCTGCTGCTAAATCAGCAATTAAAATATTTTCAGTACTAGCAGAAAAAACATCTGTTGGTTGCATTTCTCATTGGCTGAGCATTTTCCTAGTCTAAATTAACTTTTTTCTAGAGAATTGTGATCAGAAACAGAAACGCAGTAGGAAACACAGTGTATAAGAAATAATACTGCGTTTTAAATCCTTACAATAAGATAGCGAAGAAGCAAAAAGTAAAGGTGCGAGTACAATCTTCTACTGAGACTGAAGTATTTTTCTCTTTTTCACAAAACCTGCTCTCACGTTCTCCACTCAAGCAAATGAGGGACTAAGTCAGAGAACAGTCTGAAACGTAGGTTCACCCACTTCACTGCTAGCTCGTGTCACTGACACGAGCCCAATAAGCCTGAAATAGTCATGAGGCACTCCGTGCTCGTGCGAGCTGTGGCACCCCGCGCTGCGGGAGAGACGAGGCTCCCGTCCCCAGCAGCCTTTCGTGCCAGCGCTGTCCTTTTCCAAGGTGAGCGACACCCACACCCCCTGAGGGGCCGGGGCAGGGCACGAGGGCCACGGGCAGCGCCGTGCCCGG